TCAGGCTGGCTTGCTCAGATATTTCTTGACTCCTCTTATCCCCAGATGAAATTCTCTGCCATGTATGATGCTAGCTAAGTTGTCTGAAGTGTTTCTAAGGTTTATTAAAGTATTTGATATTCTTAGGTAAACTGGTGGCATCATCTGCAAAAATAAGGTCTTCTTTTTTAATAGCATGTATTTAAACTGTGTAAGATCTCAAATGTCACTGAACAGTTGCTTCAAAATTGTATGTCAAGACTGAAAGGAGAGAAGTGGCTGTGAACTTCTAGGTAACAGAAACATTGGACATAGAGCTACCATGCTATCTGTAGTGTAAAACTATTTACAAGGTCTAATCTATTTAGCAAAAAGAGCGACTGGTAGCTTCAACCCTCAGGTAATCACACAATGCATCAAAATGTTATGAATTGTTACAAAATATCTTCTGTTGACAATTTATTAAAGTTTTATAGTTTTCTTTAAAAAAAAAAATGCCTAATGCTTTGCCTTTAGTTGACAGGATCAGTTTTGGAAGATGCTTGGAAAGAAAAAGGAAAGAATGATATGGAGGAAATGATTCAGAGAATTGAAAATGTTGTATTGGATGCAAACTGTAGCAGGTGCGAAGATACATTTATGTGCAATGTTTTGTTTATATGTTAAACAGAACACCTTAAAAATCTTCAAGTATAATGAACACATCCAAAACATTGCCTTAAACTTTTATTTGCGAGAAGTAAGGCAATACTTGGGTCACTTAACATGTAAAAAAAAAAGTTGTTTTTCAATTGAGGGGGTTTGAGCCTTTGTTTAGGTTTGGGTTTTTCTTTTCATTTTTGTGTTTTGTCTTTTAATAGAGAGGGGCATATTCCATTCTAATTATTTTTTTTAACCTTTCAGATCTTGAAATCTTCCGTAAGTGCTTTAGGCTCTAAGAGCAAGTGTGTATACTAAGAGACAATAGTGGCATTATCAGCTAGTTTATACTTTTAAATCTGAATGTAATAGTATTAAATACATACAAGCAGTATTAAATATGTGACAATATCAAGTCTATACAAATCACTGTAAATAGAAAGGCAAAATGGAATATGCTTATTTTTTCTGGAGAGCATACTGTTTGGCAGGGCCTCACTGCAGTCTGAAAAAAATATAAGTGGTTGGCTAACACATTCTTCTCAATTTGCAATCAACTGTGTGCATGAGGTTGTCTGTTTCCACTGTACTTCATCCTCAGCTTCTTGCAAACTTAATAAAAACCTACAGAGGATTCAGACACTGTGACATTATCTCTTGCCAACAGGTGGCTTGAGCTGCCCCTAGGGAGGATGAGGAAAATCTTGCTTCAGGAACAAGAGAAATTGATAGCACAAAGGAAGGCTTCAAAGACATAGAAGCAAAAGTTATTTTAATAAAAGGAAAAAACTCACAATTTTATTTATTTTTCTTTCCTTAATGAGACTTTTCTCCATGGACTTGTTTAAAAGAAGAACGTATTTTCTCTTTAGGGATGAAACAAGTGGGTGGTATCTAATGTATTGGAGGCATAACTTTTCACTGTTGGCCACAAAATTTAAGTGCCATTTAGGGAGCTGAAGTTAGGAGCATAAATTAGATTATTAAAATACAATTTGGAGATCATCCTCCTGTTTTTCCAAGTATTACCCTTTTATCAGAAAATCATTTGCTTCTTAACTTGGGCTGCAGGTTTGGTATCTTGCTAAAAACTATAGCAATTTCTGTTTCATATGGGCTTCTCACTTAACCACAGAGGAAGAGGAGAGGTCAAGTGTCTTGTAATTGAGCATCTAAACTTGCAGGGGAAAATGTTTAACTCAAAATCATCTGCAGACTGGACCAAATTTTGTCCTTCTAGGGCTTTTTTTTTTTTTTTTTTTAGATTAAACTATACAGATTTTGCAGGGTAAGAGAAGCCCAATTTCTTGCTTAGGACAAGACATTCTGACCTTTGCAGTGCTTCTCTTTATTTCAGAGATGTGAAACATATGCTTCTGAAACTAGTAGAACTGCGATCTAGTAACTGGGGTAGAGTTCATGGAACTTCTCCACATACAGAAGCTACCCCTGAAAATGACCCAAACTATTTTATGGTAAGAATGCATGCACACTTCAGTTCCTTATTGTAATGTGACTGTAATTTGATTCATAGACAATCACATTGCTGAAAACTACAAACTGCTGAACACATATAACTTTCTCTATACCTTTATTCTTAGAATGAGCCAACATTTTACACTTCTGATGGTGTTCCTTTCACTGCAGCAGATCCAGGTATGTCACAAGCTCAGTATACCTGTCTTCTGAATCTTTAAGAAGTTGTAATGAAGTTTATGTCCTGTTGAAGTACATAAAAAGTTGTTCTTCGAATGTCTGAAACTTGTTCAACTTAAAAGTAAAAATTATGTCTGAAGTCCTGGCTTTAAGTAATACGTGACTCATTCTGCATTAAAAGAAGGTAAATGTTTGAAATAGAGAATGTGTGTTTGAATTCATATGGTTCAGAAGAATTTCTGCCATAGGCCTCAGCACTTGGTCTCTCCACGAAGCCAGAAATCTTCAAGTCTTATTTTGTTTGTCTATTGTTAGTAGCAAAAGCATGTGTTTCTTCCATTGTTTCTTTTCTGAAACCTGGAACATAACATGGCATGATAGCATTTGAGGTCGATAGATATCCTGAGAAATCACTAAAGGAGGAGTTTTTTCTGTAATATGTTTCATGCCATTTAGGATTTCATTAAACAGGCTATTTTTGAAACTATATAGATGCATGTTAATTTAGGGGACTAGGCTTATGTATTACTCAATATAATTTTTACTTTGCCAGATTACCAAGAAAAATACCAAGAGCTGCTTGAAAGAGAGGATTTGTTTCCAGATTATGAAGAAAATGGAACAGATCTACCAGGAGCTGGAGATCCGTATGTTTTCTTTTTGAGTGATAAGGGTGGTTTGTTTTTTTTAATACTAGTTATCTTTACTGCAGGCTTAGAATCCAATCTTGACAAAAATTAAGCTAAACAATGTAATTATTATTTAGCTCTACAATGGAAGTTATGTATTTGTTTGGGTGTAAGTTGGTTTGTAATTACACAAGTTTGAAACAATTTTTTTTGTTTATCCAACTGAGTAGGGTAATTAGATTTCAGATATTTATGCACATGTAACTGACATTCTCTTCTGCATTAAAAAAAAATGTAAGCGAAACTAAACACCACACCTTCAAGTGCTGGTAGTGAGGCAACCTGAATTCATTTCATTGATGCACATATAGATCCCAGCTATAGATGATTCCAAAATTGTCAGTCTTTTGAAGGGTGGAAGTTAAGTTTCTCTTCTCTGGATAAGTAGTATTCCCTCAATTAAGTGGCTACTTAGTATTTCTGTAGAACAAGAAAAGCAACCTAATTGCAAAGTAGAAAGCAACAGATGGGAATGTAGCCTGATTTTCTGATACTGGCTTGTAAGAATTTAATAGGAAACCAGTAAAAGAAGTATGGTCTAAAATAAATTGCTATGAGTTTTATACTCGCCTGGTTCGGATAATAAATTGATACCTAAAAACATTTTCTTTGTTGTATTTGTGTGATGCAAGTGCTGGCCTGCATCAGTATTTTTTCTAAGTAAATTAGAAAACTTTTAGATTATGCCTAGCTGAGGAAAGTGGCAAGAACTCTGGAAAATAGATTAGAGGTGTCTTTAGAAATCAACAAGCTCATACTGGGTGGGAATAAAAGACCCATGTGAACTGCTGTGCTTAGAAGAACAAATTAAATGCAAAATGGAGTCAGACATCAGTTAAAAGACAGCAAATACAAAGAGAGACCTGTGGAAGGCTGTGAGTCAACCTTCATGCAAGGTGACTGGAACCTTCTTTGTAGAAGGCTTAAGAAAAGCTTATATAAATGTATCCTGATCCTATGTCAGCTGTTTCTCATGACTGACATCAAGTAGAAGGGTTCTTTGTTGAGCTCCTTCTCAAGTCTACACTTCTACAAGAAAGGTGGAACAAGTAAATTAAATATGTAGACTGCCTCTTCAATGCACAATGCTGAAGGAAGAATACTTTACTTACACATTTCCGTGGCATGCACTGTGGTTTTGTGTGAAACACACCATTTATGGCCTCTGTGCAGATGAGACATGCCAATTCCCTTGTTTGGAACTAAGGCACAGAAGATAATAATAAACAAGGAACACTCAAGCTACTTCCCAGTTACTGTGGGGAGAAAGAAAGCTGAAGTGATGTCCATCGTTTCCCAGCTTTAATTTGAAACTCTATGGTAGTCTCCACTCTGTGCAATACTTGCTGTCATTCATGCGATCCAGTCTTTTCGGTGACCTACATAAGATCTTTCCTGAAAGACTGGTTATCATATCATAGAAGGTAATGTAATGCAGATGTAAAGAGGAGGTGAATTATGGTTGCCTTCTTTCATGTATCAACAAACAGGAACACAGGTTTTCTATATAAATATATTCCTTGACTCATGTGCAACCGAGACAGTTGGTACAGTGTTTGAACTAGGATTTTTTTTGTTTTGCCCAAACAAAAATCATGCTAAGACAATGGTAATTATGTTTTTTGCAAATAGATCAGTACAGATGCACTATTAAAATGTTGGGAAGCTTGGACTGCATTATTGTATTTTCTGTCATCTCGGGAGCTATTTCTGTCTTTTAAACTTTGGACAGCATAGAATGATCTGAAGTGGTAACAACACTATAGCTAATTCACAGAATCACAGAATGGTAGGGCTTGGAAGGAACCTTTGAAGATCATCCACTCCAACCCCTCTGATAGATTTGTACATATCTGTGCTGCTTTGAGGTTTCAGTTTATATGTTTTCCTAGTACCCTTTTTTTTTCTCTCTTCACTGCCTTTAAGAAAATGTCATAATTAGCTACTATCTATGTTTCTGAAAATCTGTACATAAAGGTAACAGTTTTGGTGATTTTTTTTTTTCTTTTAGGTGTATTGATGACATTGATGATGAAATGGATCCAGAAATTGTAGAAGCATATGAAAAATTCTGTCTAGAATCAGAACATAAGAGAAAACAGTGAGATGTTACACATTAATGTTAGTTCATTAAGCCAGTTTAGTTCTGGTTAGAATACAGGGTGACAGAAAATGTCTGTACCAAAATAAGGAGCTTGAGTTTCTCCAAGTACTAAAGTTACACAGTTTCCATTTTGTTCTAACAGAATCTGCCAAAAATTGTAAACTTATGCCCTGTAACTTAAAATGTTTTGTATATATATCATAGTTTATGTACAGGTATATGAACAATGTTTTGGCTGCAATAAAATTGATTTTCAAGTATCAAATGAAATTAAAAATTAATGGGGATAATAAAATTTCCTTTGAGGGAGAAAGGAGAAGAATAACTTGATCTAAATGTAATTGCTTGCTTGCTTGTTTTATTATATATTGGAACTTACTCATCCTTTTTACCGTTTACAAGATATCTGGGGATTTTGTTTGGGTTTTTTTGTTGGGTTTTTGTGTGTGTGTGTTTTGGTTTTTTTATTGTGAAGGAGAGTGTGATTCAAATACAGGTTTTTTGTTGGTTTTTTTTTCTGTACTTTACAGAGAACTTGGTTTGTAAAGGTTTTGTTTCATGTGGGTTTTTTGTTTGTTTGTTTGTTTTCTTCTAAAACCCATATGGGTGAAGTCTCGATTATTTTTTTTCTGTAATTAACATGTTATATGTTGACATGTGAAAATGCAAGCAGTATTTTGGAAGTCAGGTGCTTTCAAGGTTCAGATAAGCTTATTTTCAAGTTTTACAAGCAAAAACTGTCCTTTAATTTGGTGTGTTCTTCAAGACTATATAGTTAAGTTTTAACCCACACTTTCATGCTTCTTGAGAGTATGTGCAGAGCTTGATTTTTTTTTTTTGTTTTAATTAATGTATCTAACAGTTCTAACCTTTTGGCAACCCTTTTAACTTTATCCATTCTTCTAATTTTATATAGTTTGATTTAATTTTATAGTTTGATTAAATTTGTATGTTTCATAAATGTTAACATTCTGAAGCCAGCTGCTCTTTTTTGACTCCATATAATAACATGAGATTTTGTAGGATGTTCCATTGTTGTTGTTGCCAAATTCAGTTGTACTCTTTCCTGTTATCTGTTACTGGGTAGACTGAGAGGAACCCCTTACCAAAACCAAATGGAAGTAATTCCCAAAAGTTAACTACTCTGAAGAACACATGCTGTAAATATGCATGTAAATCATTCTGTTAATATTTCCCTGTTATTTGTTTGGTAAAATACCTTGTGCATCTGCTAATACAGTGAGCACTGACTATTTTCCAGATGTTTATTTAACAAACTCATTTAGGTTGGAATTTTGGAAAATAAAATTTAACTAGCTTTGTTTCCTTTGGTATAATTTCACTACCTTGTCCTTTTACTTTTTTTCTTCTTTCCATTGGTCTTTCTTCTATCTCACCTTCACCTAACACACCTTTTTTCTTTAAAGTACACAGTTGAAGAGATTATTATCTTTTAATACTTACAGGAAAAATAAGATTTATCAAAGGGCAATATGGTCATAAAATCCATATTAGCATTTCAAAGTCTTTGGACTAAAATCCAGAAACTAGAAAAGTGAAAATTAAATTAGATTATTTTCACACGTCCTCTGATGTTTAGCATATTTTTCATACAAAACTTTTAATCCAAATACAGGTCAGACTTCTTGCTGATTTTACAAGCAGATGTCATGTAGAAAACATTTACTCAAAACCTAAAGTCCCAAGGAGCAAGCATTTCTATATGCATTGTAGTAAAATAATAGTGTCTTCAAGGGACTCCACATGTTTTAGTTTTGCATGTTTTGCAGTGTGGCTGCTTTTTTCTGTAAAGAAACTGTCAGACTCTAAATGTATACTTTGTCAGCTTGTGGAGGCAGCATGCTTTATATGTAGTTAAGAAATAGGCCAAGTCATCCTGCACAAAAACTTTGCGAACTAGTAACTGTATATATGAAGCAATTCAGATCAAAGTTTGCAAAATGAGCTTTGTTCTCCACCAGGAATACAGAAGAATGATAAAGTGAGAATTCTGTTCAAAGTAATGGAGAGGTTTGTGGTCTCTCTACATAGGAAGCTTTGTAAGCACTTTTAGCCTGTATTGCCATAAGGGAAAATTAGTTTTAGCTGTCCTGCTGAGTAAGGAAGACAGCGATAATCTTTGCCTTTAACACTTAACAATCTTTCCTACTTGTCTTAAATCTCATAGGAGTCTTAATACAGGTTAGTGATGGTGGAATGAAATGTGAGAGAGCAAATAAAAGCACTTTTTGCACTGCCATAATTGCCATGTGCGCTTGTCTGCCTGTTTTTAACTGCCAGTAGTTCTGTGTATAATAAAGATGAGTCTTGAGAGGTTTTTAGCATTTAGCATTTCTTATCTGCAGGTTTCTGAACAATACCTTACAGATCAGGAACCCTTTAAGAAGATTTGTTTTCTTTGTGGCATAATGATAAGCCAGTGAAAGCCCAGAAGCATGGAAAACAAACTTGGGGAGAAGTGAAATAAACTTCTTTAGCACTGTTTCTGAAAAGAAACACACTTTGTATTCGAATTACAGCACATGAACCAAGCTTCACACATCAAAATATGCACAATATTTGCACTCTTGACAAACCAATTGTGATTTAACAAAAATGTTTAGTATTTGAAAATCACACTTAGTTTAGAATAATTTCAAACTGGTCTGCAAGAGGTGCTGCTTTGCATGTGCTTTGCTTTTGAAGGAGTTACATATTCAGAAATGAAGTCAACTCTTTTCCTCTGTTTCCTTTCAAATCTGCTAAGAATTTACCACCAACTGGCCTTTTCTTTTTTCCTAAGGAAAACAGATAGTCACTGGGTTGTTAAATGTTGGTTTTTAAGTGTAATTATAGGACTACAGAAAGACACAAGACTGGCTCAGCTACATCAGGTATCACAAGTTATGCGCAGTTTGGATGGTTGTTTTTTTAAACAGAATAACCCATTATGTCATGAAGCGTTGGTAGCAGTCTGGTCTGTGACAGTAATTTTTATTTCTCTCTGGGACAGTACTTCCTTACCATGATCTGCCTTTCCTTCCTACATTCCAGTCAAAAGTTAGGCAAGATCCTGCGGTGTTTGTAAATTGCTGATTTGCCACCTCAGCTTCAGCCTATATGACCTACTTCCACAGTTCTTACGCTTATGGTTCCGACCATAGCAGTGAAGTCACCAGTAAAATATAATGCATTGTCCATAAATAATAGTAATAAAGTAGAGAAGTACCATTACTTGCATTTTTAACAGATGAAGTACTTCAAAACTCAATCTTGTGGTTTGTTGTTCTGTCACCCAATGACTCCTCCCCACCTGAGAAGGGGAGTCAGGAAAAGGAAAGGAAAGGGAGTCCATGGGTTTAAATTAAATAGATTTATTAAAATAATAATAACATTAATAAAAGTATTAATCTAAAGTGCACATTTAGCCAATATTGTGCAGGAGTAGACCTCAGGGGTAGGGCAGTAAACAAGTCCCTCCTGAGCTTTCAGCCAGGGAAGAAGGAAAAAGAGGAGCTGTCCCCAGCAAACTTCACAAATTATAGTTAATGTGGCGTTTATGGTATGAAATAGCACTAATTGGTCATCTTGGGGTCAACTACCCTGGGTTTTCACTTCCCCTAGCCTCTGTACCTGTTTATGCTGAAGACATTGATCATCATGTACCCGCGTTAGCTGAAAACTATTAACAAAGTGTCATTTATTCCCATTAAATAGAGTGTGCTGTAGTTCTTACAGAATTGCAGTTTTCCTGTACAAGAAACCTGACTCTAAAATTCTGTCCCAGAACAGGGACACTCAGCCAGAACTAGATTTTACATTTCTGAACCTTAGTCCAGCCCTATAAAGATTTATACCTGCTTGCTTTAAGACCAAGTATCTTTATACTGCTAGATTTAATAATACAATAAATGTGATAAAATGAGGAATCATATTCCAAATGTGTATTTTGAAACTTGCTTCAGGCAAGTACTATGCAGAATAATACTCATTAAAAAGGGTATTGCAAATAGAACCAGATTTATTTTGATGAGTGGCTGTGTCTGCAGCCACTTGACTGGACTTTGACCTACTTTGCTGAGAAGGGAGCTGTAGAGAATGGAAAGTTGTATTGAATGTGCCTCTTCCATGCCTGTATCCTGGCATGAGAAAGCTGCACTTCCATAGTCAGGGAACAATTGCTGCAGCTAGGTGAGACCATATGGTGTGGAGTGGTCTATGTATATATAGCAAAGGATCTTGAATCACTTTTACTTGCTGCTTTAAGCAAGAATTGCTAATAAATTGTAACTCTAAACTGTCAGGCCACTTAAAACAGCTTTGATTAAACAGTAAATGATGGGGGTTGAGTGTATATATACTCCAAAAAAGGTAACTAGGCTTAATTTTTAAATTGGCCTTTGGGAAATTAATCCTTGTCTACTCAGCTAGGGCTTTAAGTGACCAGTTCTGTGTACACTGCTATTTGCTAATTTCCCTGCCTTAGGAACGCACGAATGCAAAGCGTCAGTGACAAGAGTGACTTGTCTGTGATCTGTCGCTGGGATGTGTCGCAGGTCGCGACTTGCTTTCTCCCGTCCCTTAATTCTTCTGCTCATTTTCCAGAGATGCCGATGCGAGGAAGCAGGGAACGGAGGGCGGCAGAAAGTTAAAGTAAGAAGGTACGATGTGTGTTTCCATCTAGCTTATTTTAGAGATGTGTGTATAAGCCAGCTCAAACTTTCGACCTGTTCCCTCCCACCAGGAAGATAAAGTTTGATCACCAAACATACAGGCGGCCGGGAGGGCGGGTAGGGACCTCGGCGAGCGGCCCCGCC